CAAAAAAAAAAAAAAAAAAAAAATCATAGCTTGACATGAATAAAAATGTCACTAATGTTGAATGAAAAGTGAAATTAATCCAAATTAGTACCATTGCAACCTCAAAAGCCTCCACAGAAAGCTTCTCCATAAGCCCTTGGGTCATCTCGTAGACAATCTCATTTCTCAAGTCTGGCACGCAGATTTATGTAATGGTTAGAAGAGCTTATGAATAACAGGAAGAAGAAGAATTGAAATTGAGAGAGAAAAAAACCATACTGGAGACGGCGTGGACGAGATGAATGGTATCTGCGAGACGGCAGAGATGAGCAACGGCCCAATCGAAGGCGTGCTTACTGTTGGGGCCATGATCGATGGCGATGATTATGTCGCGGCCTCTCCGCCGCTCTCCGGTCTCCCTGTCCAGTTCAGGCGGCGGAACCACCGGTATCAGCGACGGAAGCTTCACTTCCCTCCAGTTGTACTCTTCCTCCTCGTTCAACGCTTCCATATTTCGATCCGATCGATTTTTGGGTCGTCGTCTGGATATTAAAAAAACAAAATCCTAATGCCGGTGAAATCACGGAAACGGCCGTTCCTTAAAGCGGCGCCAGAAAGTCAGCCGCCACCGCAGCCTCTTTTGAATTATCCCGTAATTCCCGTTGAATTGCATTCTTATTCCTTTCCGGGTGTGATCCTTCCAATTTCAATTTTTTTAAAATTTTTGATATTTGACTAAAATTATTTTTAAATAATTTGAATTTATTTTTAAATAATTTTATATAAAAATAGTTAGAATTATAAAATAAAAATTACATCTTTAAACTATATGTAAGAATTCAAAAAATTAAATGTGACATTATTATATTATTTTATTAAATAGGATACGAAAATAAGTCAACAAAGTAAATAAAGTTTAAAACTTTAAATATATGAATAATGAACGGGAATTTAATTGTTGGACGGAGATAGTATTCTTTATTACACGGAGTATATACTTTTCGTCCTAGTTTATTTTCTAATTTGATTTCTTTTATTCAATATTTGTAAATTTAACTTCAATATCGGAAAAAAACATTTTGTTTCAATATAAATATAATATCAAAAATTTTATTTTGAAACGTAGTTTTCAAATATTAACTTTTTATACAGTATAATTTTGTATAAATATCAATGCTGATGGTCAAGGTATTACATTAAACACCGTGAAAAGCCAAAAAAGAATATTAAATTTAAAAGAATAGATCATACTTTAATTAAAATTATTTAAACGAAAACATAAAAAAAATATGGAGTATTTATTAGTATTAAATTTGATACACCCCTCATTTTAATTTCACAATTGTGGACTGTGGAGAACAAATGATGAGAGCATTTTGAATGACCCGAAACGGATCCGAACCGGACCCGTTGAAAGGTGAAGTTAACTGAAAAAACCAGCGAAGTGAGATTACAACGTATCGGAAGGCGGAAGGCGGAGCTCCGGCGGCCAGGATAAGGAGGAGGCCGTGTAAATGGAGGTGAAGCAAGAGAAGAGCAAGATACTGATCATCGGAGTAAGTGGCCGCCTAGGTTTTGAGCTCGCTAAGGCCAGCCTCGACGCATCTCATCCCACATTCGGCCTCGTTAGAGACTCCGCCCGCTCCGATCTCCTGAAATCCCAAAAACTTCATTTACTTTCCGACTCCGGCGTCACTCTTCTGAAGGTTACTCATCTCGTTCCCATTTCCGTTCATTATTTATGACTCTTCTGCGGACATTTAGTGGCTTTGACAGGGCTCGCTGCAAGATGAAGAAACCCTAATTGATGCGATCAAGCGAGTTGATATTGTAATTTGTGCTGTTTCTTCGAAGCAAGTCCTGGACCAAAAGCTTCTTCTCGCTGCTATAAAGAAAGCTGGTTGCTGCAAGGTAAATATCATATATATTTCTGTAATTTTATGTAGCATTTTTTTGTAATTACATTTATAAATTCACAACATTGATATGGCCTCTTGTTAGAACTAAACACAACTTCTAATCCTCACAAAGTTCTCAACATAGGTAGGATTACTTGAAATGTTTAGAGTAAGTGACATTAATAATGAGATCAGGTAAGACTTATTAATTATTATCCAAAAGTATATTTATGTAAAACAATGTAAAGTAGTGAGTATTCCGTATTACTTACTCCATCTGTCCCACAAAAAAGTTCCACAATGGAATCGGCACGGTTATTACGAAAACTAGAATTCTGTGTTTGAATGTGACGCAGAGGAGAGAGCGATGAATAGAATGTGGAACTTTTTTTTTGGGACATACAAAAAAGCTAACGAGGAACATTTTTTATGGGACGGAGGGAGCTTGGTAATAAAGTTTATGTCTTTATCATGTACATGATCAATGGGTGTAGTAACTTAATTGGACTGGTGTTCATTGCTTTGCTGTAGAGGTTCATCCCTTCAGAGTTTGGGATGGATCCTTACAAAACACGGATTTCCAACATGGACAACAACTTCTACTCAAACAAAGCTGAGATTAGGCGTCTTGTGGAAGCCGAAGGCATTCCCTACACCTCCGTCTGCTGCAACTTCTTCACAAGTTATTTACTCCCATCGCTCATTCAGCCCGGCCTGAAAGCCCCTCCCAGAAACAAAGTCACCATATTTGGAGATGGAACTGCTAAAGGTCAGATACGACTGACACTCCATTTTGTCTAGTTTGTGGTTTGAACCTTTGAGCTAAATGTCAGATGCCCTTTCCCAGGTGTCTTTGTAAAAGAAAGTGATGTGGCAGCTTTCACCATCAGTACGGTTGATGATCCGCGTACATTGAACAAAGTGGTATACCTTATGCCTGCAGGAAACGTGTGCTCAATGAACGAGTTGGTTGCGATCTGGGAATCAAAGATTAATAAGAAGCTTGACAAGGAGTATTTATCTGAAGATGAACTCGTAACGAAGATCAAAGGTATGTCAATTTGTTGGGGTCATCCCTGCTCTCTGATTTAAGGAGTTGGGTTATTTTCAATGCTCTATCTGAGAGTTTGTTTTTTTCATTTCAGAAACTCCATACCCGGACAATATGGAGATGGTTTTCATATACTCCGCATTCGTGAAAGGCGACCAGACATATTTTGACGTTGAATCTTCAGGCGGATTGGAAGGGACCCAACTTTATCCGCATGTAAAATATACCACCGTAAGCGAGTTTCTTGATACTCTCTTGTAAGATGACAGACACTATGCAGTAGATATGCTTTGGTGCATTTTTCCTCTAGTGCAGTCAGTATAATGCCAAAATTTACATTTATGGTGTTTTTGGCAAACCCACATTTCTTGGACATTTTGCTTATTTGAGCTCGCAAATGTCTTAGGATTTCTGAGGAGCTGCAAGCTCCTGTGTTGTTAGATTTGAACGGGGAAACACATAGTTCAAGTGACAGAGAGTCAAAACAGTTCAATTTTTTTTAATAATCTTTTAACATCCATATATATTTTTAATTACATACTCGGTAGTATATATTTTATCCGTTCCAAAGTAAAAGCAACACAATCTTCTTAATAGGATGTCTCAAAATATAGCTTATTACGGAGTACCTCTTTACTTACTTCGGGTTTGTCTTAGTGTATTTGTTGAGTTTAATTTTTTCAATTAAACTACATGGGATTTAAACATCAATAAAAATACACATTGTATATTAGCAAAATAAAAAAATATTTTGAATGTATTTTACAAGACAAAACTAATGAATCTATTTATGTAATAATATGTACCCCGTAACATGGAGTACAATTTTTATTTGATTGACAATCAATATTTATTTAATTTTTCTGTAAAAGATCGATATGAATGAATACACTAAGTCGAACTTAGTATTATGGAAAAAGAATGTTTAACTTTTTTTTTCAAAACAGATTGTAATCGCACGTTTTTTTTCGTTTTCAATCTTTTTCTTAATTTAGTGATAGACAATTTGAATGGGGAAAACTACCATTCATATTCCAATGATAAAACTCTACCCACAAATGTTGGGACATTCACAAGTCTAGGAAAATTAAAAGGAAAACTCATTGATATTGATCTGATTAGAATAAGTTTTAATCTGATCTCAATATAATTATATTTAAAGCTATTTTTGATCTAATTTCAATAAGAATAAATAATAAGTAAAAATAAATAAATTGGAGAGAATATGGCCATAGTCAAACAAACGGAGTATTAACCTTACAAGTGTTCCAAAATCCAAACACAAATACTCCAAAACTCACTTCGCATTGAGTTTAGCGGTTCCAGGCCGAGTTTGCAACCAGGTCGGGCATTTTCGATAATACAAAACTTGATACAATTCCTCACTACACATAGTATATCATCATTCATCAAGACCTTGAACAATTGGAAGACAATCAGGTAGAAATGCATCAAAAAATTGATCCTCAGTCTAATTGTCTTAAAATAAAGTTGAGTATGTAACACAAAAACAAACAATAGTTTGCATTGTCAATGGAGCTACTACATTTTCGCCAACACCGTATATTCAAATCCACATTAACCTAAGTACAAATCCATAGTAAAAGATAAAGTGACAACCCAAAGCTCTGATTGTGGCCAGAAAATAGTTTAGTCTGCTCTGGGACTGCTGGCACTGAATGCAGATCTTTTCCCACCGTATTTCTGTTAAAGTGAACGAACGAAACCACTGTGAGTAACAAAGAATATGACACCATGCCTTCAAAAAATCCAACTGATCATGTGCATGCAATCATAGTAAAATGATACAATTGTCATCTCACCTGCTTTCCAATGTTAAAAGGTAGGTATCTATACTTGATCATGTGCATGATTTGGCGTTTCATTGTGAGCACAAAGAGAACAATCCAGTAGATCAACAGTATTGGCCAAAAGACAGGGACATCGAACATGGAGAAAAAGGTCATGACAAATGCCACACAAAACGCCTTAGTGATGGCATACCTTAAACCATAAAGAAAGAAAGGAGCCACAAAGTGTGAGATTGGTCACACATCACACCATATTAGAACAGTATAACTTTCACAAACTGTTTATCCAAAAAAAAAGTATGACTTTCATATAAATACCAAGAGCAACATACAATTTTTCGCATTTACTTTAATGCTTGACTTGTAAATAGATTACTACATCATCCTATTGTGTTTAGGGAACAAGCCTATCAATGACTTGCACGTGATCAGAAAATCCAATACCCAAAACAAGTTACTCCAACAGCAGAATTAGAAAGTTTAGAAATGAAATAGCTAAGCGAATAAAGTATACCAGAACTTGAATTCCGGAAGCCGGCGAATGAATGGCTTGAATTCATCCGAGCCTTTTGTAGGCAGCATAGGACCATCTGAAGGTTCTAGCTCTGGGTCAGTAAGAGGTGACAGAAAACCAATCAGCAAATTCAGTAGGTAGATGCCAAGACCATAGGTGACGATGAAGAATCCTTGGACATAATACACACGCAAAGCATAAAGACATGCAAAGGCAAAGGTCCCAATCCACCTATACAGAGCATGGGGTGTGGTTTTGTCTAAATAATACTGCAAAACCTTTGATATTTCATGCCTCTTTTGGTTCAGTGCAGCAGCAGCTAATGGACCATCACCTTCAATACCCTCCATATTAGAATGTGAATGTTGTAAGCCCCTAAAGACCACAACACATGGTGATTAGTTCATAATATTGGTTCTTTAAGCACACAAAACAAAGAGCAACGAATTTGTAAGTCATCCAGTTCTAGACAAGTCAAGTAATTCACTAATTCCAAAGAATTTAATACTTTGTTTGGTTCAAAAGATGGGAGGTGAAAGGAACTGAGGAAGGGAGGAAAACGAAGCTGGTTTAAGAAAATTATATGTTTGGTTCAATGGATGAGAGAAGGGGAGAAGTCAAAGTAATCCACTAATTCCTTACAACAAAAGTAATCCAATAATTCCCAAAGATAAAACCCTTGTAAGGTTCCAAAGAGGGAAAAGAATGGGAGGAAAATGGAGGTGCTTAAAAAACCACAGTGAGTATAGTTCAACGAATGAGTGGGGAAGACAAAATATATAAAAGAAAAATATAAAGATATTGTACTCCGTAATTGATATGTGCTTAATTGAAATGAAAATTATACATTAGTATTAATCTACATGTAAAACAATAAAATGTAGAACATTTTTGGTATTAAAAAAGTCAATGAAATGAAGAAAGAAATAATTCCCACAAAATTCTCTGAATTGGGGGAGTGGGATATGAGGATTTTGGACGATTTTATAGCTCCTCCACTTTCCTCCCCATTCCCACAATTCCCTCAACCAAACACATAAAACTCCTTCACTTCCCTTCCACCCATCCCCAAAGCTAAGAGACCTATTAATTTGGGGGACACTAATAGAGTGTCCAACTGTCCACTATAGATTCCCAATGTTCCATGGTAAATCGGATGAAAAAGCATTCCACTGTATAATAAAACACAGCTTCAAAGGAGTTTCCAACTCACATAATGCAAACATCTATAGCTGCATTATCAGTTTATCAGTCTAAACAAAAACAATCACGCAAACATTAGACAGGCAAATGTTTAGGTTCATCAAATGCTGTATCAGGCCCTCTTCAGTACATATCTCGAAGTGCCACACAAGAAAATGGGAGCACAAATTCAGACTTCAAATTTTCAGTTCACCGCGATTACCAAGCTGATTCAAAACCTCCCCTCCCCAATCTCCAAAACACGAGTTGGAATCTACCGTCACATAAATGACTCACACAACGATTTTTCCTCGGAGTCATTAATCGTGACATTAAAAAACATAGAAACAAACCCTAGCTGGAACCGCAAGCAACAGGAAATCTCTTCGAAACAAAACCGAAAAAAAAAATCAGATCTACAACTGAGCGAGCGAAGGATTAGACATCACAAATCGAATCTATCCATGAAAAACGCAGTACATGATGCGTGTGCACGATACATCTGGGATTTCACGCATTATATTACAGCAAGCAGAAAGGAAACATTTCAATGGAGTTAAATGAATGCAAGGAAACGGATGAAATAGTAGAAAACATACCTTGGGAAGAACAGGAAGAAGAAGACGAAGATGAACGTGTATCTTTTCGCTATAAGTCTCCGCACGATCCTCTCTCTCAGGCCTCGGCTCAACTGTGTGTGTGTGTTTTCTTCATCTCTGCAACAGAGGACAGAGAGAGCCGAGAAATTGCAGATTTGAGCATCCATTCCGTATTGTTAATAGCTGGTACATGGGCCGGACTTCTCGCCCAAACCCACCGGTCCAATCATGTTTTGTGGGCTTAGACAAAAGAAGTTTCAAAAATTTGCATCCTAAATATTACAAGTACTCCGTAGTTGGATTTTTTTGAATCAAGTTGGACGAATTTCAGTCATTAGTTACATTACATTTGCGTTACATACTAATATACTAATACAAAAAAATAAATTTCAAAAAATTTTACACAACATAAATCTAATAGAATTATTTTTATACTAATATGTAATATACGGAGTAATTTTTATTTAAGTGATGATTATTTTTATTTTAGTTTAGATCGACAGAGACAAATTAGACGAATATTCTTCTAGAATTTGTATACTCCGTAATTTCAAAGTATACTCGATTCTATATATAACTATTCTTTATTATTTACATGTTTAAAACTTCAATCACTTTTTGTATTTATTCTAACAAATTATTTAAGAAATAATATGGTCTTGTCATTTCTTGTTTGTAAAAAAATTGATATACTCCAATTTCCAATATACAAATTTAATTTAAAGTTTTATAACGACTTTCATATAAATAGAACTGAAAGTATCATCGATCAAGTATCGCGGCACGTAATAAGCAAGTTTTTTATGACAGAAATGAAGGAAGTATGCATGAGAATAAATGAGGAAAGCTAAAAAAACATTTAGAACATCTCTCCAATGGGGCTTGCAAGTTGCAATACTTCGCTTGCTATTGCTACTTTTTAGGAAATGATAGTGGTATAACAAGTCATTTTTTGCCCCTTCTATAACTATGGCTTGTTATATTATACTCCGTACGTAGTAACTAACAAATACTCGTATATTTTGTTCCAATAACCATTATAATACATACTCCGTAAAATATAATAATTCTTAAATTGTATTTATTGTTGTATATGTAAAATAAAAGCAATAAATACGGAGTTTGTCATTAAGCATTATAAAATTAAAAAAATCACAATTTAAATACGGAGTACAATAAAAGGTATAAATTGAATTATATTATAAAATAATTTTTTAAATATAATAAAATATGTTTATTTGATTATAATGAAAATAATTGTTTTTACTAAATAGAAAAAACTCAAACATCTCTTCTAAGGGTAAAAATCACACTCACATTGAAAAAACTAAGAAAAATGTTATACGGAATATTTGTGCAGTATATGTCATTGCAAAAGAAATTTACATTGATTGATTTATGATGATTTTTGCTTAGCTATATCCTAGCAAGCTTGGTATATATAGCAAGTTGTTTTCATTTTCAGTAGCTAGTCAAATTTTGAAGTTATTTAGAGGGTGTTTGGCACTGCATTGTGATAATCATTTTGTTCTGTTTGGTATATCAATTTCTGTTTTTCTTCACCATCATTTTGTACATAGAACACTATTTCGGAGAAGTAGATATGTGATGTTTCTACTTTTAGCTTTTGTATAAATCACTTTACCCACAAATTAATCACTCGCAAACACCCTCCCTCTATGGAGAAAGCTTTGTTTACTTGGAGAATTATATCATCAAGAGCCTTTTTACACACAGACAAAATGGAAAGAGCCTTAGTATTCTTTATTTTTATTTTAATAATAATAATAATAATAACAATCTTAAAGACAAAATCATTGCCTAACACACACACTATTGAACAGTGGCAAAATGCACCAGACAATGTGCATTCCCCAGTCTTTTTTCCCCTTCTTTTTGTTCTGCTTCTTCTTCTTTTCCTTCTTCACAAAGCTCTGAGAAACTTGTGGATCTTTGGTTGTGACTTTGGTCTCCAGGGGAGAAGAAGAAGGAACATACTGTAATAAATTCTTGCCTTGCCATCTTCTTATTATGATTATATGACAGTTCCATCAGGAATGGTGGCTTTCTCCATTACAATAGTAATCCCTGATCTAATGAAGAACCCTTCATCTCCCCTGTCTGCTTCTTCAACTCCCTGTGTTATCATTGTCAAGTGCAAAACATTTCGTGAATTCGTCAAAGTTTAAACAATATTCGTAAACGTTAAAAGATTAATACTTTCAAGAATGAATAAAAAAAGAAGATTGGCTCACATCTGTGTTCATGATGACAACATCTTTCCCAATCCTTGCATTCTTGTCGATGATCGAATTCCTGTGAAGGGAAGGAATTGTTCTTTAGAAATGGCAACGAAAGAACACATTTTTGTCTGAAATTTTAATGAGATGCATAACGTTTCTTTCTTTTCTTTTTTACCTAATCTTTGTGTTTTCTCCAACCCCAATAGGAACCTTTCCATCTGCCAGGAGCGAGGCGATTTCAGATTCCGTTTCGTACTGATCCGCTCCCATCATTAAACTATCCTGATTTAACAAAACAAATCACATTTCAGACTTGTAGCTTTTATGTCTTTATCTATATTGGTTGGTTTATACTTCCATTCTTCTTCAAAGGACACTCACTAACCTTCACCTCAACCCCACTGTCTAACCGAGAACGTTCCCCAACAATGGAGTGCTCCACGGTGCACTCTCTTAAGAAACACCCGTGGGAGATTATCGCGTCCTTGATCTAAAAAAGAACATTCCCTTATTAGATAAAAACCTTCTAAATGTGTCATTATAATTATTGGGAATAGAGAGAGGGAGAGAGAGATACAAGTCACTTGGCAGATTACCTTGCAGTTATCAATTTTGGTTGGCGGTAGGAACCTTGGGGATGTATAGAAAGGTGTCTTTGGATCATAGAACTCAAACTTTGGAGCCTATCACAGAGAATCCAAAGTTATTTTTAAGTTTATAATACAATGAGAGTGAAGAAAAAAAGAGTATAATAGAGAAACACCTCTTCAGTAAGGGCTAAGTTAGCATCATAGAAAGATTTTATTGTCCCAATGTCTTCCCAGTAGTCTCTGAAAATGTAAGCCTGCAAAGATACTCTTGTCATGCTAATAATACAAGTGCCTGAGTAATCAAAATATATTGTACTATGCATGCATTAAAACTCATTTTGTAAATGAAAAATTGAATTAAAAGACCATTAACTATTTCATACTTGAACATTGTGCTCTGTTACAGCAGCAGGAATAATCTCGGATCCGAAGTCATTGGATGTGGGATACCTCCACTTGAGCAGCCTCAAGAGGACATCTCTCCTAAAGACATAAACTCCCATTGAAGCAATGTAAGGGTTTAATCTGGCATCTTGAGGTGACAATCCCAAGAGAGTAGTATCAGCTTGCTGCCATACAACCAGAAAGAATCGTCATCATCATCATCATCAATCAAATATAAAGTTCTAATGGTTCGAGCAGGGGTAATATGGTCCTAGTTTCCCTACCATTGCTTTCAGATCAGCACCCTTGGGTTTCTCCGAAAACTGGATTACTTTGCCCGTACGGTCAATTCTCACCAGCCCGAAATCCGATGCTCGGCTGTAGAGCAAAAACACAATTTGATTCAATCAACTCGGTCATAATGGACATAATCAATCATCATATGGAAAGCTTTATACCTATCCCCAGCTGCAGCGCACGAAAGGGTAATATCAGAGTTGCGATCAATGTGATTCTGGACCAAGTCCATGTAATCCATGCGGTAAAGCTGATCGCCGGACAGAATGAGTATATTCTCAACATCCTTGTTCTTGGCATCTTCAAATACCCATGTAAACTGCCTGACAGCATCCGCGGTTCCTTGAAACCACTCCATTCCAGTTTCCCCTTGTGTTTGTGTTGCAGCCAGTACCTGTTTAAAACCAATTCTATCATCACTTTTGTTACTAGGTTTGAGCCTAATATGTACTTGTGATCTAAACCTTAAAAAATCAAATTTTTGTCATTCATAGCTGTCAAGAAACTGATTCAACAACCAAAAGATGTGTTTTTTGCTCACGCCTTGCACATGAACATTGATTCTGTAAAATTGGATGACCTATAGATACCATAACTAACAGCGGAGTACAAGATAAATCATAACAATAAAGAGAGTAGTTTGGGGTATCGAAGAAAAAAATTAACCTCAACAAATCCCTCTCCAAAGCTAACACCATTGCCAAAGTAGGTGCGGGAAATGTGACGATTTAGAGAAGCAGAATTGAATTGTGTGAGCACAAAGATCTTGTTCACTCCACTGTTGATGCAGTTGCTCATCGGGATGTCTATCATCCTATAACACCCTCCAACCGGAACCTGGTAGTTCAATCAATGAACGAAAGAAGGAACAATCAAGACATGGTTGAACAAATAACACATTTGAAGGGTATATATATAGATGAACTTAATTACAGCAGGAGTAGCAGCTCTGTTGGTGAGAGGGAATAGCTGCGTCCCCGGGCCACCTCCCAGTATGATTGCAGCCACATTTTTAGGATCAGCTCGTCGTCTCTGCCGCCTTGGTGCATCTACAGTCTAACCATCACAGATCCATAAACTTTCAGCTCTTCTCAACTAAAATTTACTGAACTAAGCAACACTAACTGAAAGCTCAAAATCATATGTTTCTCATTATAATTACTCTTAACAAGATTCAATGAATGGTCATTTGTTGGTTCTTGATGTGTACTCTAATAAAATAAAAACGCAAGAAGATTCATAAATTGAATGAATGGGGACTTATACCACAGTCTCTCTTCCATTTTCTGCGGTTAGAACAGAGAGTGTAACCCCAGCTTTGAACTTCATCTTCCTCTTCCCTTCAAGACTCGAACTTTTCCCGAACTGACCCACAAAGCCATTGCTATTTAGGCTGCCTCTGGCCCTCTCCCCCCAAAACTCGGAACCTCTTGGGAAGTGAGTGGAAGGTTTCAGTGTTGCACAAATGTCCATTGCAGATCACTCTCTACTGTCAAAATAAACCAATAATCAGGCTAATTAAACAGGCAGATTTCATCACAACAATGATATACGTTTGAATTTCAGGAATATGAAATTATGAACCCAGACATTGCCGGGTGAGATCTAAAAAAATACAGCAGAAAGACTTGATTTTTACGGATCAAGTACAGATAGTGACCAAGAAAGTGACAATTCTGGATACCCATTACTCCATTAGCAGGAAAGTAAGAAATAACAAAAAATATATATATGAAATAATGATTCAGCGCAAGTAGAACCCAAGTGAAGTGGATCATTAAGCAGAACTGTGAACCAAGAAATGTAAAATAT